TCATGTTATGATTTCCTTCATCCTCTGATGAAAGCAAACATCCACTTGAGTAAAGGGTCAATCTGCTTAAAGTACTAATGAAGTTATAGATGGAGCCTGGTGCAATGACTCCCTGGTTCTTAATATCTCTTGAGGACTCCAGTGTAATGAGCCCTTTGCCATAGTTCCGCCCATCTTTTTGCTTCTGCCTTATAATAAAACCTTGGAAAAAAAATCTCCTAAATAGCCGATAGCTGGACCAGAGCTCAGACTTAGGCACTCAAGCATATATTTTTGTATCGTACATCACAGAACACAGAACGTTTTTATATTCATTGTAATTAAGGTTATGCTGTCATTTTTTGGTGAGTGGACCCTGGCAAAAAAAAAAAACAAGACAAAGTCCCCTCCGTTAGGCAAGGCTTAAATTTTTTGCTAGTGTCTGGAGGGGATGTCATGTCTGTGCAGCTCTCTGCACCAAGATAGCCAACTCCTTAACAGTTCCATCTGGGATTAGGAGACTGGCTTTATCTGGATCCATTTTCCTACAGCTTTTCAACGCTCAGAGGAATGGTACCTGGAACCCACAGGGACAACCTGTCCCAGTCAGTAATGGACCCCGCACAATGATACATTGCCTTACAGAGCAGAAGGGTGCTGTACATATCCAGGGTAGTGACTCTCAGCTGAGAGTTTGAGTCCTTGAAGGCCCTTTGTGGTAAAACCTGCTAAGATAGTTGAAGATTGGATCAGCTGGTATCCCCTACCCTGCTGTAAGTGACCCCTCCTCCCCCTGCTAGTGGGACAAGGATTGTGGTGGCCAAAGGGATTTTATTTTTCTATTACAGTTGTGTGCAAACATTTTCATACCCTTAGATTGTAAGCTTCAAGGAGCAGGGCCCTCCTATCCCTCATGTATTAAACTGTATTGTCTCGAATTATATTGTAACGCGCTGAGCAAACTGTCAGCGCTATATAAATCCTGTATAATAATAATACCCTTGGATAATGGATAATATACAGTACTATTTTTAAAGCAGAACTCCGGGTTTATTTTTTCGAAGGGTAATGACTAAACTTATACTCACCTGACCCACAGATCCTACGGAAAACCGTGTTTAGCCACAATTCAACAATGGACTGTTCCGGTATGTGGAGCGCGCATTGACTGTGCTGACATCAGGAACAGTCCATTTACAAGACTGCTGGACTGCGGTGGGCAGAGGGATAATCAGGAGCCGAAAGAAATGGTCTTGTGCCGGGAGGATCGGCACGTCAAGTGAATATATCTTTTGTTCTAGGGGAGAGGACACTAAACGAACATTCAACTTTCCAGTGCCGGTGCAGCCCCAAAATAATTTTTGGCCAGATTTCTGCTTTAAAGCAGACCCATTTTTAAAATTTCTTTTGAACCCATTTCTTATGTGATTCATATTCAACTGTAGGTCATAACAGAATGGCACAATCATAAAACAAACCATGCCAACAAGTAAACAAATGGAATGACCCTTGTTCAAAAGTCTGCATACCCTTAGTTCTTAATGAATTGAACGTATTGCCCCATTCAGCATCAATGACTGTGTGTAGTCTTTTGTAATAGTGGTCTATGAGGTCTCAAATTCTTGAAGGTGCTATAGCAGCCCATTCGTCTTTGCATGACCTGGAGGCATTTTGCAAAGTCTTTGGTCGTCTTGCATGAACGGCATGTTGGAGATCTCCCCAGCTTGGCTTGATAGTACTAAGGTTAGTAGACTGTGATGGCCATTCCAGAACCTACACCTTTTTCTACTGTAACCACTAAATGGTCAATTTGGCCTTGTGCTTAGGGTCATTGTGCTGGAAATTCCAAGAGCATCCCATGTGTAACTTTCCTGTAGAAGAATGCAACTTGTCTGCCAGTATTTTCTGATAACATGCTGCATTCATCGTTCCATCATTTTTCATAAGATTCCTTGTGCCTTTAGATTTCGCGCACCCCCAGAACCAGGGGCAGACTGACCATTTGGGAACTCTAGCACTGCCCAAGGTCAGAAGGGGGCCCGATGAGATGCCCCTGGTGCCTTTCATAGGCTTTTTCGGCTGTGGTTTGAGTGTGGGCAAGGACACGGGTCCCATGAGTTGTCAGTCCCGCCCCTGCCCAGAACATCAGTGAGCCACTACCATGCTTAACAGTGCAAATGGTATTCTTGTTGCTATAGGCCTCATTGACCCCTCTCCAAACATATGGTTGTGACCAAAAAGCTCTATTTTGGTCTCGTCACTCCAGATTACAGTGTCTCGGAGGCTGTGAGGTATGTTAAGGTGTTGTTGGGCATATTATAACCAGACTTTTTTTAGCATTGGCACAGTAAAGGCTTCTTACTGGCCAACTTGACTATGCACCTAATTTTTGTTCAAGTATCGTCATATTGTGGTCCTTGAAACAACTGCACCATCTTTTTCCAGAGCAGCCTTTATTTCTCCTGAGGTTACCTGTGTGTTTGTTTTTCTTTGTATCCTGAACAATTATTCTGGCAGTTGTGGCTTCACTCTTTCTTGGGTCTACCTGACCTTGGCTTGGTAGTAAGAGATCCCCTGAATTTTCCACTTCTTAAGTGATTGAACAATAGAGGCTGGCATATTCAGTGCTTTGGATATCTTTTTATATCCTTTTTCAACTTTATAAAGTTCCATTACCTTGTTACATTGGTCTTTTGCCAGTTCTTTTCTACTCCCTATAGCTCAGTATCTAGCCTGCTTAGTGCATCCATGTAGGAGCTAACAAACACATTGACTATCTATACATAGACACTAATTGCAATTTAAAAAGCCGCAGATGTGGGAAATTAACCTGTACTTACCATTTTAACCTTTGTGTGTCTATGCCAAGGCCAAACTTTCTAGGGCAGTGGTGGCAAACCTATGACATGCAGAGCCCTCTCTGTTGGCACGCAAGCCAAGTCACCCTAGCAGCCAAGCATCAGATAACAGTGTACGGGCCATGTGCATGCTTGGAAAGGAGTAGCAGCGCCAGGCGATGATGTCACGAGCCATGACTCGTCCGAATTTTCGCATGACTGGTCAGTGCGCTGCCATGGATATATATTGGACTGGCTGTAAGTTTTAATACATCCGTTTTTTGGGGTTTTTTTTTTTTTTTTTTTTTTTTACACAAGATTTTAGCCTGTGCTGGTGGTCAGTGGAACTTTGCCCCTTGTGCTGGTGGTCAGTGGAAGCTCTGTTCTTGTATGTTTTAAGACAAAAGATGTTAATGTAACAGAACATAGATGATTTTCTTTTAAGACAAAAGATGTTAATGTATGGGTTGCTTTTCTAAACTAAAACCTCAGTATTCAGGTTTAATTGCAGTGTTGGCACTTTGTGATAAATAAGTGGGTTTTGGGTTGCAATGTGGGCACTCAGTCTCTAAAAGGTTTGCCATTACTGTTCAAATGGTTCTGATCAAAAATTTACATACCCTTGGATGATTTCTGTTATTAGTTTGGTGCCTTATTAAAGCCTATGTGATTATAAATGCCTTCATATGATCATTATCCTTAAATAAAAGATCAGTCATATTTTCAATATCAATGCAAAAGTTCTACAATTTTTGCCAGATTCTGCAAACTTTTGAGCACAACTGTACATCCTCAGAGGATGTTTTATGTACGGATTGGGCTCACCCTTCCAAGGTGTTTATTTCACCTGAAAGGTTCACTCTGGAAGGGGCTGCTTTACAACAGCTATAAGTGTATGTGAAAGCCAGAGATGTCAATTCCACCAGAAACCTGGAAAATTTTCCATATGCTCTTAGCTTATTCTTTGGCACCCTGAATGACTCTATACAGCAACTTTCTCACTTAGAGAGGTCACATCTGAACAGATGCATGGGATTTTGTGGCTGAGGTGCATTTTAAAGCAGTGTACTGTGCCAAATCACGTGGCAATGTACAGCAATGCAGTGTGCTGCCCTACATAACCATGAATGAATTGTATGCTTTGTACACTTCAGATTTGTACAAAACAAAAGGAGCCGTGTGATGCACTGAATCGCACACTACACTGCCACTTACCACAAAAACAGAGAGCTGCCAGAGCAATAAATCACTTTGGCAGCTCACAGTTATCGTGTGAATTCACCCTTAGTAGAGGCGCACGTGTCTTTACTGCCCCCATCAATTTAACACTCATTTAGTAAATACAGCAGAACAGGGTGTTTTAGGTGAATGATGGAAGGTATTTAGCAGCTAGCTGTTTTAAAAGAAAGTCAGCAGATTAGATATTTATCCAACAGAGGATTTCATAAAACACTGCCTGCTTAAAGAAATTGTAGATGGGGTTAAAATCTGTCAGTGCCAGAAGGCAATGTTTATAACTTCAGTGGCTGAATAGAATTACTGGTCAGCGGATATTTTTTTTTTTTCCGTATCTTACTGTACATCTGTAACTTAATAAAATCTTCTGCTTACAGCATCATCTTGAATATCTTCCTTTTTTCCCCATCTTCTGTTGTGCAGCACCACAGACTAGGCTTGCTTCCAACATGATGGATTACAGCTGTTTTGTTGGTACCATAACCATCTCACACAAACACACTACACACTGAGATAAAATGTCCGTTTTTTTGTTAATGCTTCCAATTTCCACTTATCCAGCCACCAATTAGCTTAATACAAAATAAACATATAACATATCTGTTCTATAAAGTATTAACAACCCAACACATTTGAAATTTCAGTCCTCCAATCAGCAGTGGAGCTTCCACTAATACTCCGCCCTTCTTTACAACTTCCTCTGTGGACGGAAATGCCGGGTAATGGCAAGAAATGTCTACACTACAAGTGGTGATGTTCCTGTGACCTGCCAGGAAACGTCACTATCCAATGGATGTTCACTTGAAACATCACTTTCCACCTAAAAAAAAAAAATATATATAAATGGCACCAGTAAGGAACTGTGAGACACGAGCAGTGCTACTCATGTTTCTTCTATTCCAGGTTCTTGATGAGGTAAGGGTAGTTAAGATGATGATCAATCAGCTCTCATCTGCATTCCAGCACTTCCTTCTTCAGATCTGTAAGATGAAACACCGGTCACCAACTATTGTACACAAGTAATATGTTTTAATGGTTTCACAAAAAAAAAAACAAGAGAAACAAGATGCCAAAGCAAGCTTTCTTGGATAGAAGGGGTGCCATAGCAGACTATGTAAACAGTGTTGTAAGTCTAAGCATGTTTTCAGTATGTTGGATGTGCCCACAAACTGGCTGCTTAAGGAGGAAATAAAGTCCACAGAATAATCACCTCTGTTCCAATGATGCAGCCGTTGGATTCCTTGCTGATCTTCTCCTCAGGCTATGGTCAAGTGCTGGATTTTCAGCCTCTTGATACTTTCTTTTTTTTGAGACTGTGTCTCACTGTATTGCTCTACACTGGCTGTTCACAGGCACGATCCTGTGATGAAAAAAACCTGCCTGCTCACAGTTTTTTTTTCTAAAGACTTTAGCGCTTTAAGCTGTATCTGAAGAGTAAGTTCAGGTGAAAGGAAACCTGTCAAGACATAGAAAATACTCAACAAGGGTAGCCTATATTTTAAGAATGTAAGCTGTATAGCTATCTCCAGGCTGAATGCTTTGGGTAACTGATTTGGAACAAGTAGCAAGCCAGCAAAAAATTACTATATCTGATTAGTACACTTGTTCCAGCTGAGTAATCATTGGATCATTTTGACAGTCAGGCATTTCACATTTAAAAAAGTAAAAATGGCAGTCTACATAGTTCTCCCAAAGCAGGTTAAACTGGACAGAGTCAGCACTGTCACAGCTTTTAGTTGCCTACTGAGATTAAATGATGGCCATGGAAAGCCAATCTTTAATAGATACAGCTGTATATCTTTGGGAAAAGTGTAGAACTTCTGTAATGTGCAAAGAATTGACACAAATGTAATATCAGTTAGCAGTAGTAGAATGAAGCAATATATAACATTTCTGACCACACCTAGGTTTCATGGTATTTGGAATGTTGGAAACAAAATTGTAAATTTTAGGGTAAATGTGTCATTAAACCATTGCAGAACAGATTCCACACCTAAAAAGAAGGTGGGATGAAATATTACAATTAGGCTATGGTGTTTGCACTTGATTATGCTTCTGTAAATTCCCTATACTGAATTTTACTTAAAGCAATATTAAAACTAAATAAATGTGTGATGCTGCAGTTTACCAATCATTAGATGGGGTGGCTGCATCAGGTTTCTTTTTCCCTCTGTTTTACCTGTGATCTGGCCAGTAACACATCTCCTGTATTAGAGTGCCCCCACTCTGGATGAATGAGTACAGGGACGCCTTTGGACAGCAGCACTGCCAGTCTGAGGGGAGTGTTAGATGGACTAGCAGATTTAAATACACTAACAAACTAAAGCCAAACTCCATTTAACACTTTATAGGCAGTTACAGCAAACACTTTTTTCCCCTTTTGGGATAAGGATTACATAAATAAAAGCAGACCACTGTAAGTACCCATGGTAGTGTTGAATGTTTTTTTCTCAACACTGTAACTGATGCATTCTGCTAGAGAGCTTGTTATTTTGAAAAAACAGGTTTACTGGCAGGATGACCAAATGAAAATAGAGAAAAGAGCCTCAAAAAGAAAACATTACTGCAGCCATCGCATCTAAGAAAGGGTAAGCTGTTATATAATTAAGATTTGCTTTTGGGTTTAATACCACTTTGATTTAAATGTAATAACTTATTATAGAAGTTAGAAAAATGGATTAACCAAATCTATCAGACAGGAGGGTACGGCGGGATTGTAGCTGTACTATGAATGTGAATAAATTAGAAAGCATACATTGAAAGGGAGTCATATCATGGCCTTTAAACTTTCACTTAAATCTTCATTGGAGAAGAGATGTTTGATAAATGTTATATATCTTTGATTATTTTCATAGAAATTATTAGAACTGAAACAGTAAAGCCTGGTACATGTCACTCTGAAAGTCGCAAAACAGATGTATGCAGCCCAGACCTTACCTGCGGTACTGAAAGCTTAGTGTACATGTGCTTAAAAGTCTGCTTTATAAGCACATCAGAGGTCATTGCCATATTTAAAAAAGAAAAAAAAAAAAGCCATGATACATTTTTTTCAATGTGCAGTACAGAGCCGAGTGATTTTGCAGCAAGCGGGATGCAAAGCGTACACTGCTAATTAGGAAGGAGAATAATGTTTAAATTTACCTCTGCATTTACCAGCATGGTCAGCTATTAGCTGACACTCTCTATTGTGCCCATAACAGCAGTGTTGATTAGAAATGCTGGAAATAGACAGGGTTACAACAGATGAACAGAGGGGAGGCCAGAAAATTATACTTTGTGCATAGGTCTTCCCGGTGCCAGTTACAGGTCAATTACTCTTCATGCTGGCAGAAAGGAGGACTCCATTATTATTGACAATGAACTGCAGTTTATTTATCAACGACATCAGTAAAATATATATAAAAGGTTTTACATCATGTCAAACTGAAGTTCCTTTTTTAAGTCAAGAACAGCCTCCTAGCTGGTTGACTGGACAATGAAGGAGCAAAAACATAGTGAAGTGATGAGGCAATCATTTTATTGTACTCTCTTCTGCTAACATGTGAGCACATGCACCAAAGCAGAGCCCAAATGATTCTTAATGGTGACCCTCCCTATCCTAGAGTGCTGCCATATAGGGATTACTGGACAAGGATACTTACACTGTTAATGTTTATTGTTAAAGGGTATGTAAACCCAGCATTTCATATTCCTGATATGTGCCTGCCATACCATGTACTTGTATGAAAAATTCCTGTTCTCTTGATATTTCTTCCTTTGTGTGAAATCCCTGGTGTTCCTGCCAGCCTCTCTGCTTTTCTATTAAACTGTCCACATTAGGCAGGAGAGCACAGCGTGGTCAGTTCACTAGCCGTGCTGGGAATTCTGTGTGCTCTCCTCCAATAATCAGACTTTTGCTGACAAACTCTCCCCCCCCCCCCCCCCTTCCTGGGAAGCTTAGTGTCCTGCTGTTTCTCTTCACATGCCTGCTGAAACAGAGGTTAGGTGATCACTTAAAAAAAGAAAAAGGGAGATATTTATAATGTGTTTTTTTTATATATCTATACACACATGTTTTGCCTTTCATTTCTGTTTTAAACAGAATAGATTGTTTTACAAGGTAAGGGTTTACATACACTTTAACTGCTTTTACCCATGTTGTTTTTTTTTTTCTGTGGTGTTTGGCTTTAAAGGATCCCTAGCTCTTTAGTAATGCTGACCTACAAAAATGATTTATGATTAGTTTATTTAACATGAGGGTGCAGAAGCAGGGGTGTCCATGAATGAACTTAGTGCATGCCCAGGGCTGTGCATAGCCATGTTCAGAGCATGCCAGCAAGTCTGGGGTGTCAGCAGGCAATAATTTATTGGCTTGTGGATGAAGGGTTTACATAAAAACCACACTTTTCCTCATTACTTCCCAGAATTTACAGCTGTGGACAAATTTGTTGGTACCCTTCCATCAAGAAAAGCCCACAATTTTCACGAATAAGTTTGAAAGTGACAAAAGTAGCTGGCATTAACCATTGTTTATTCCATATTTAATAAAACATAACCAATCCTTGTTTCACAGTAGACACACTGTGTTCTATTTGTTGAAAATTAAATTTTTCCATGTGCAAACATAGAGCTGATGTGAATTGTCAAATAGCTCCAGGTTTGTCTCATCTGTCCAAAAGACATTCTACAAGAAGCATTGTGATTTGTCAATATGCATTTTAGCAAATTCCAGTTTGGCCATTTTGATTTTCTTTCAACACTTGAGTCCTCTTCCTTTGAGCACACTGTAGCTGAAAAAGGGATGGATGGTGCAAATCAAATACTGATTTACCTTGACGTTCAGTTTGCATCTCTTTTAAAATTTTCCTTGGATGATTGTGTACCACTTGCACTATTATTTTGCTCAATCTGGGGTCGATTTTCCGATGTTCAGGGTGGTTGGGTTACATTTAAACATCTTAATTTTTGCAGCTGTAGTCACAGCTTGGAGATGGTCTTATACCAAAGAAAAGCATCATTTAAAAGTGAAAGCTATATGTTCAGTGTGGTGCACACAATACCATAACAAAGAGTGGCTACTTTTCTCCATTTAAATAGACTGAATAAATATTTAAGATTTAAGAAGTGTCATACTAATTACAGGAAACAGTTTAAAACATCACTACGATCTCATTGTTTATAATCTTTTTTAGGGGTACTAACAAATGTGTCCAAGCCATTTTTAGAATATCTTTCTAGAATAGGAAATGATTGATCTTTTCACACTTTCTTTGCTTTACTCTTTGACATACCAAAAAGGTACACATGATAGTTGCTTTTAATTTCATAACTTTTCTAGAGGAATAACTCATTGCTTCAATGAGCTGTAAGGGTACCAACAAATTTCTCCATGGCTGTAGCTGTATAACAAACAGCAAGTACCAGACATGTCTTTGCATATCTTGAGACATTTCTGCTGTAATTGGTGCCACCAGTTCACACTCCACTAATGGCTTCCAGGATGCTTGCAGTGGGCCTCCTGATGGTGCAGACACTGCAGCCTGGAATGGTGTTGCCCCTCTACTCCTAGGGTCTAGCTTTGTCAGCTGGGCCAGTTCTTCTGCCCCTTCACCTGAGGTTTTTACGAGACATGCAAGATTTCATGGCCCAAATCAACCAGTTATCTGCTGACTCCGGGCCACAAATGCACTTCCACATCTTCACCAACAGATACTATATTTTTTATATATCTGAGACGGTCTGTTTCTGAGTCGCTCCAATCTCCCTGAAAACATGCCCTAAGAGACAGTTTCTGCTTATGCAATGCGCACCACGCTTATTAGCCTTGTACCAGTTCAGGAAGGATTTTGGAAAAAAAAATAAAGTGGTCTATCCCCACTGTCGATTGAGCAGTTTTCAGCCTCAAAGAAACTACCATACAAGTAGGGGATGCACCTGTTTTTTACGACCCAAGCAATACGCAGTTGGAAGCCCTCTCTAGAGCTCTGTTCCTTATAGTGGG